ACACACACACACACACACACACACACACACACACACGCATACACTCATGCAAACACCATCACACACACACACACACGCACACGCACACACGTGCACATTCTTGCAAGCACTCGCCGTTAAAGGATTTTGAAGTAGTTCGTCAAACAATATCTGTGGTTGGCGTAATCCATCGATGAACTAGAATGGATCGTCCTTCGCGAGGATAAGATACAAACTAGTAGAAGATATTGTACATACAGTTAGAAGAAGGTGTTCAATCTGGTTAGTGATGCAATGTACCTTAAACCTTTTTCAGTTTTAGTCAAATGGAAGATTGATCTCTGTGTAGGGTATTGCTAATTTCTTGGCCTTGGGGGTTCAGAATCTGTAATAGTTACAATGTTCATTGATTCTTGATTGGAGGAGGCCAGAACGAAGCTGGTCGGAGATCTGGGGGCAGTTTTGGGGCTACTTACTCTCGTAAGATCAAGGATCGTGGTAAAAAAAAAAAAAAAAAAAAAAAAAAGTGAAGTTGGCAGGTGATTGTAATTACTTAGAAGAATCTCGTGACTTGAATTTGTCCGTTTGAAACAAGCACCTATACGACGATCAGGGAAGGAAAAGAGAACACGATCGAGGAAGGAAAAGAGAACACGAGGAAAAATGGGTCTGTTTCGGCTTGTGCGTTTGTGATTGATAGACGTTGATTAGGACATGATCCCTCGTAATTAGAGTCATTGTCCGCTTGACAGTGGTTCAGACATGTTGTGTTCAAATGTTCATGCCATTTGAAGCAGGAGAGATAATGAACCATATATAGTCATCCATTGACATTTTTTGTAACGTGAAAAAAAAAAAAAAAAAAAAAACTTGCAGCGCCTTGCGCCCATGGAAGTACCGGCTGCCGTTGTATGTACAGCCGAAGATACAGGTAGGAGACAGGCCAAGAGGTAGGGGAAGATACTGACCACACAGAGGCACACACACACACACACACACACACAGAGAGAGAGAGAGAGAGAGAGAGAGAGAGAGAGAGTTGGGTTGTTCTTGAGCGAACGTGGTCGCCATTGGATGATCGACCAACGACAAGGTTCATAACCTTTTTTTTTCTGATTTTTTTCTGGCTCAGAAAATGCAGTATCTATGTAGTATCTGTTTTGTTCAGTTTGATATCTGATCAGAACTTTTCTCGACCTTTTGGCTAAGATCAAGTATAGCATCTGTTCTGATCAGTTTTAATATCTAATCTGTGGTCCGTCGGACCATAAAAAAAAAAAAAAAAAAAAAAAAAAAAAATCGCGCAGCAGTTCTGCCCGTTGTGGAAACTGCTCTCCACCATTACTCGATATTAAAACTTTTGTTCGTTCTGTTGTGAACTGCTCTCCAAGCCTGCTCGGCTACGAACATGTCGGATCTCTCTCTCTTTCTCTCTCTCTCTCTCTCTCTCTCTCTCTCTCTCTCTCTCTCTCTCGACTTGATTCTTTTCTAGCTGCCAACTAGCATTCGTGCAACAAGTTCAGGCAGAGAGGAGTATTGTCGCCAGCATGTCGTGGTGGAGGAGGGTGAAGGAATTTTTCCTTCGATTCTTCATGATAATAGTCTTGCTGTGTGATAGGTATGTGATCATTGTGATAGGTTCATGGATATAGGTAGGTATAGATCTACAGGCAGAAACTTGTTTTGTGTGTTTGTGTGTGTGTGTGTGTGTGCGAGAGAGAGAGAGAGAGAGAGAGAGAGAGAGAGAGAGAGAGCTCGTGCAGTTGGCCTTTCTTTTTTTATGTGAGCTTGGAGCTGATCTTAGGTCTTTTTCCTTTTCTTTTAATAATATTAGCTCAGTCTTTTTATGATCTTGAAGGCAACGGCAGGGCAGAAATTGTTGAATTTTTTCTGTCTTTTTTGTGAGGGAGCCGTGGTGAAGACCTTTTGTCGATCGTGAACAAGTACCATTTGTTCCGAGAACATCGTAGACAACTGTTGCATGAACTATGTGGGCCTCCTCCTCCTCTTGTTTCCAGTTTCCCTCTTCCTTTCCTCCTGCCTGGTCACCTTCATCGCCCGATGGAGAAAATGTGCGAGGGTGGAGGTGGATCTCCAAGTCCGAAGACAGATATGGCAAAACTGAAAGTCTCAATGCAGCTTGCACTGAAAAAAGTTGGTCCTTACCCACAATACATCCTCAAAGAAGAGAAACAGAGTACAACGCCATGTTGGGCGCGATTTGCTCATGTTTGTTTTCTAGATGGAACTCCTGTGAGGGAATATGAAACCGGTTACACCGCATGCAAACAATGTTTCACCGTCTATGCGTTTGCAGTTTCTAATGGAACGAGCACGTTGAATCAGCACAAGTGTAGAGCTGAGGTAGGTGGATCAGGGACAATGCAAGTTTTTGCAATGACAGCAAAACCAACAACTGCACAAAAAAAACAAGTCGTGAAGGTGGCGGCTCTGATATGTTGCCAGAATTTGCGTTCATTCTCCATCGTCGATGATCCAGGTTTTCTCAAAATGGGTCAATTTTTTATTGATACTTGTGTCGCAACGCAAAAGGGTATGAAAGTCAGAAGATTAGCTCATTTTGCAAACACGGTCAAGCGCAAGGTTATTTCAATTGCGAATGCTCTTCGACAAATAGTGAAAGAAAAAGTCGCTCAACACTTTACTGATAACGTGCACGCTAGCTTCATGGTGGATTTGTTGACAGATGCAGTTAAGAAAAACTCATTCATGTAAGTCACCATCCATTATATAGACAGAGAGTTTAGGCTACACGCTAGGACTCTTCAGGTGAAGGTTTTTCCTGAAGAGTCATACACTGCACAAGCTATTTTGAAGGTGTTCCAAGAGTGTCTTGAGGAACATGGTTGTTTTGATGCTAGTCTGTGCATGGTATGTTCAGACAGTGGGTCAAATGTCGCAGGTGCTGAGGGTATTAGGAGTGTATACAAGTGACATGCTTGTGTTGATCACAAGATAGCCACTGCATTGACAACCGTTTTGAACAAAACCATCGCTGTTTAAAACAGTGTCAGATCTGCTCTGTTCTACAGATTCGAAGATCGGGCATCTGAAATTTTTGCCCTGATTGAGAACCGCAAGGAATTGGTTCGTTATTTCAAGCAGGCAAACTTGCAAAATAGTCTGAAGACGTCGCTGAAACAGAAAAACGCGACAAGATGAAACTCACTGTTGAGGTTGTTGGACAGTGTGGACAGTAATTATGTTGATGTGAACAATATTTTGATGCAGCGTAATCGCCTTAGCATGATGGTCAATATGGACCGCGATTTGTTAATTGAGTTTTCTCGATTCTTACGTCGCTTTCAGGAAGGCACTCTGAAGCTTGAGAAGTACCTTGACCCAACCATGCACCTTGTCATTTTTGAACGACATTCTTTGTTTCACCACTGTCACATTCGAACCGAATCAGTGAAAACAGTCGATGAGAGTGAAAAGGAGGTTGTAATCCCACCGGATTCCAACAACCTGAAGGTGATTAAGAATTTGGTTAAGGAAGTTATGATGGAGAAATGACCGATAGAGGACCTGCATGTTGTTGCTGCTCTTCTTGATCCTCGACAAAAGGATCGTCTCGAGAATTTTGATGTTGTTTGTTTTGATGTCAAGTAGGGGAAAAACTAATTGAAGAAAATAATGTTGAGCCTCGCAAGTAGTGACACTCAGAGTAAGCGTGAAACTCATCAAGTATCCAAACGATGCAGGATGGATTTCGGTGCCCCTTCTCTGGATACCTCAGACGATGATGAAGATGATACAAGTGAACCTGCAGATGTGGCGGCACCTTTGACTGCAACAGAACGAGTACAACAAGAGATTGATGCTTACTTTGATCTCAAACTGACAAAGGAAGAGAGACGTAACTTTGACCTACTGCAATGGTGGAATGCGAGGAGGATGGCGGAATCGACTGCATCTACTTCTCATCAGTTGGTGTTGAAGTCATCTTTGTTAATCATGGCTCGGGCAGCCCGTGCATTTTTCTGTGTGCCAGCATCCAGTTCCAAAAGTGAATGTAATTTCTCTAATGCTATAAATAGAATCACAAAGAAGCGCTTCATGTTTAATCCTTCTGTAGTGAATGATGTGTTATTTGTGCGGTCCAATATGGACCTGGTTTAAGGAAGTAGATAGTTGATACCAGAAAGGAATGAGATTATGAAACAAGTTATGAATAGATAGGTAGAAATTACGAGAAAATGACGTCAATCAGAAAAAACTGGAGTTCTCAAAGAATTAAGAGCAAATCAATCCTTCTCCTTTGGGGGAAGCAATCAATGCCTCTCTCTTGAAGTTATGCAGTTTTTTTTAGTGGGGCATGTGAGAGGAGGTCAATCCTCCTCCTTTTGGGGGAAGCAATCAACGCTTCTCTCTCGAGGTTATGCAAATTTTTGAGTTACAAAATTGGAATGTTGTAAGTTGTAATGCAAGCCTTGGGCACTTGGGCTTTTTGAAGGGGGAAAAAGAGTTCGCTGACCCACCTTTGGAACCCATTCAAATGTTTGATATGCTTGTCATTTTCTCAATGTTTCTTCAAACTTTTGACTGTCTTATCGAATCATTCCAATCAAAGTTGTCACGAGTGCGGTGGTTCAAAAATAGAAACTGAATTTCTAACATGCATAAACCTTAGTTTGAAATCGGGAAAGAAAATAAGTGCATGGTGGGTCGTAAACTTTGGGCATGGGTATGACCAGGCATGGGTGGATGAAAATTAGTCGTGGGGGCGGGCGGATATGGGTGGAGAAAATTTAGGCCTGGGTGTGGTTGGGTAGGGGTAAGGATTCTACTGCAGATGCTGGGTGAACTGGGCACGGGTATTAAAAAAATTAATTAGCTCGGTTAGGGTGGGTATGGCTAAAAAAAAATAAAAATACGTGGGTGGCACTGGGTGCGGGTGCACATGATATATATCAAGGCTTGGATTGGGTCGGATATGAGTGGGAGGGAAAATTCGTTTGGCGACCTCTGCCCCCAACTATCCCGCCATGCAATGCGGCCACGACATCAATATGACGATTCCTCCCACATACGACTCGCCGTGGCGGCCCCCTCTTGTCCCTGATGAACAAATGGCCACCTCTTACCACGTAATGATCCCTCATCCGGAGAGTCTTCTTACTAACTCCTCTCTCTCTTTTCTCTCCTGAGAGGAGCAACCTCGTTTCTAGATAGAATCCGTCGTACTCTTCCTTTCGGAATTCCTCTGAGATCTCACCTTGCTCAAATTCTCCCTTTTTCTCTTCATCAAACTCATAGTCATCCCCAATTACTATTTCGCCCGCTTTCACCACACCTCCTTCATCATTCGCTTGAACCTGTAATAGGGAATTTGTCAGGTAGTACATTCTTCCCATCATGGCTACTTGCTCATCTGCTTGTTGGACTCGTGCTTCGATAGTTCGTGGTTCGTCCATTATCCTATAGTTCTCTGCCAAGGCTAACTCCATCATCCATTCTGCATTCCTCTCCCCCCAAGAGTCCTCTTTTACTATCGGTGTAAGTATCAAGGAAGGTTCTCTCATAAACTCGGGAGGCGGATGCCACATCAAATTTCCTCTCCTCATTGTCTTACTCTCAACGAACATAAACCAACAGTTCACGTGTGTGCGCATGTCTTCCCCTTCCTCCAAAAACCCATCTACCGAAGAAGTTTCTTCTTCAGATTCTTTTTGGTTCCCCCACTCAATTCTGCTCATACCATCTGCCCTGTTTTTGTTCCCAGCCTCTCAGGGATACGTTACAACTGAAAGTCGAATATCCAGATATATGTAAGCCATCTGCCTATGGTTGGGTATGAAGGCGAAAAATTCTTGAGTGAATACGCAAGCGCCGTCGGGTCAATCCTGATGATAAATCTCCTCCTAAGACGTAGTGCCTGAAGATCCTTAACCAATGCAGGACCGCCAAGGCTTCCTTTTTGAACTGTGAATAATTTCGCTCTATGGAATTAAGCGTCCGACTTTCAAATCCTAGTGGCCTCTTCTCTCGTCATTGTCTGCTTGGATCAAAACGCCTCCCAAGGCGGTTGGCCCAGCATCAGTCTCAACTATGAAATGGCATTCCATAGTTGCATCAAAATCAGGTACTCCCAATACCAAACCTCCTTCCCTGAATTCCTTCTTCAATTCCTCGACTACCTCTTCTTGATGGTTACCCCACTCCCATTCCTGATCCTTTCGTACCAGCTTCCTTAGATGCTCTGTCTTGCTGGCAAACCTTTCTATGAACCTTCTCCAAAATCCACAGGTATCAAGGAAGCTTCGAACTTCTTCAACATTCCTAAAGGGGGTGGGTCATTCCAGGATTTTGTTAGTTTTCTTATCATTAGGCGGTCCACCGTACTCGTTGCATACATATCCCAGAATGGTTACTTCCTTCACGCAATGCCTTAATTTCATGCCACTGGCAGTGAGGTTGTGTTCCTCCAAGAGAGACAAAACTTCTCTCAGCCCTTGGACGTGCTCCCATACGAATCTTCTTATCCCATGAGCCACCTCTGACTCTTTTTTTTTTATAGGGCCCTTGACGGCAAGGTCGTCAATGTACGACTTGATAATTTGAGGGTTGATTGACTGCATTACCCTGATCATACTTCTTTGCACCATGGCCACAGCGTTGGTCCACCCTTGGGGTGCAACATTCATATCGACTAACCCCCTAGGTGTGTGCATCGCCGTTATAGGACGATCCGCAAAATCGACCGGGAATTGATCATACCCGGGGTAAAGATCAATAAGGGACACAATTGATCTAACCGCGCAAGACTCTGACAATTGATCGGTATGAGGCAGTCCCCCAGCGTCTCTCACGGTTACCGCGTTTAGCCGTTGGTGGTCTTGTACCCATCTGAGTACTCCGTTTGGTTTTACAAAGCAAAACCATGGTGAAGCATATGGTCCACAAGAATACCCAACAACATTCGTGCGGATCTTCCCATTTAGGTATTCTACCACCTTTCGGCGATCTTCAGAATTGGGATAATTAGCTCGTCGAACATTCCGTGGTTCATGAGGCACAATATGGATGCGGATCATTTCGATCTTGTCAACGTCCAGCCTTCCGCGATGATCATCATTAAAAGCGTATGCCCCATTCTTTTCGCGTATTAGCTCTTTCATCAAGTCCTCCTCTTGCTTCGTCAGAAACCCATGTTCTCTTATTATCAATTCCCTCGCAGTCTCTTCGTTGATGCGACAAGGCCCGTTTTTAGTACATTCTCTCATTTATCGTATCAACTCTCTCTCCTGCTCGTAGTATACTCCTTCCTCTTGACTTACCAGGACCGGTACTGGGTGACTTTTCTTGTCTACCGTCTTGTACCGCCTTTTGGAGCCCTGCTTAAGCCCACCCCTAAAAAATGTTGACCCGCGGCTTGCACATTTGGCATATGTGGCCCTACCATTTGAGGAGAAGGAGGAGGAGGTCGGTAAACAAGATCGACTCTTCCTCCTTCCGGATCGTCTTGGATTCTTTTTGCAAGCGCTCTGACCGCATCAAGGTCCGCCATCCTATAAATTGATACCAGTTCGACCGCGTCACTAATATTGGTCAGGCTCAACACAAGCCCTTCTTCATCATTTGACCCTTCTTCTTCTTCCCATTCAAGTTCTCTTCGCCTATTCTCCGATTCTTCAAATGTGTAAGTTCTGGCGTTGAGTCTGGTTTTCGAGTTGTGTGGCCCAGTATTCCTGCAGGTAATAACTTCAAAATTTTCGCAGGCGGGATCACATAAGATAACAAACATGGTATCATCATGTTTGTTCATAATGATTGACTCGGATCTGCACAGGAAAGATATGCTCAGTAGAATCGGAAGGTCTAAATTGGGCATAACGTAAAACACGTGCGCACCTTGACTCTTCCTATTTCTATCATAAAACGTGACCCCCGTGTATCCGGTCTTGCCGCTAGCTCCATTGAGAAACCTGCAATCATTTTCATCAACCTCCAACCCTAATCTTTCTGCGGTTTTCCCGTTTACGATGTTCATCTTTTCCCCGGTATCAACCATCCCTGGATACATCTTCCCCTTTATCATAACGTCAATGGACCCCGTTCCTACAAACTCCCAGTCCATCTTACTCCCCGCTATACTTCAGTTCGCTTCTTTGGGAATCAGATCTCCTATTCGGACAGTGGCCACCCTCCGGTGCGACAATCTAGCCTTTACCATTTCCCTTAGTTTTGGAGTTGAAGCGAGGATCTCTCTTAGATTTAATAATTCGTTATGGTCTTCTAACAACTTATTTACCAATCCCTCTAGGTCGAATCCTTCCTCAATTGAGGTCTGGTACTTTTTCTTGCTCACCATCTCATCATTCTTTGACTTCTGTTCCTTTATTCCCTCCTTCCTTCTCTTGGCCCTAATCTTTGCCTGTTTGTCTTCTTCCTCCCTAATTTTGTCGTCCTCATCCTCGTCCCCCTCTACCGTGATCGGTGGTTCTTCCCCAACTGGCTGGGAAGCCCGAGCTTGCTCCTTCGGAGGATTACCTCCTGCGGTCTCCTTGTAGCAAACGGAATCGAACCCCTCACATTCTTCTGACCCTGGTTATTCTTCGCGGCCATATTGACCCTTAACATTTGCAGGTTGGGCTCATTTGGTCCATCTCCTGTTCCTTCGCGTCCCATGGTAAACACCCTTGGATATCCAATCCCTTCTCTCACAGCTTCCTCACATATCTCTCGAAGCCTTAGATGTAGTCTTTGCATTTTGTCCACCAGGTCCTCCATTCTATCAAATGTTTCCCTGGCATTGATGCTAACATCTTCCTCCTCCGCTTCTTCTTCAACGAGGGAAAAGTCTTCCTTGTTTTCTTCGATCCCCATTTTGCTCATCTTCTCTTCTAATTCCGTTATATCTTCCACATGTACAACAGGGTCCTCCCATTCTTCCCAGATTCGGAACATTGTCGGAGTGTTAGGGCCAAGTTCAGTCACTCGGAGGGCTTCTTCTCTCATGCCACCCGGAATATTCGGGTCAATCATCTTTCCCCTTTTGTCGAATACGTCGCCGTCTATATTCGAGGTTATGAGTCCGTCACGTTCGTCAAGTTTCCTGACGTGATATCGTTTCATCCTGTGCCCTCGGATCCCATAGTGGGTACAAATGCACTCATTGTAATCTATCCATCCTCTGCCGTATCCCTGTCCGTTCCATTGTCCGCTACCTCTACCATACCCTCTGCCAAAACTTTGGTCGTACCCCCGACCATACCCTTGCTGGTACTCTTGCCCCACTTGATTAGCACCCACTTGGGGCTGCCCCCAACTTCCACCTTGACTTCCATTTCCTCTATTCCGTGCTCCTCGTTCCCCTGGTCCTAAATTCCTTCCAGCGTTTCTTCCTCTTCCACGTCCTTGTCCTTGCCCTTGGGACCTATTCTGGTTTTGCCCGCCTTGGCGACTTGACTCCGGTTCGTTCTTACTGGTTTGTTGATTCTGTTATATGCCTTATTCTCCTCCCAAATTCTGGTTTTGGGGCATCATCGGAAATGGACCTTGCGTCGGCCATGGTCCCGTTGGGAAATACCCTGGCCATGCACCCATTGGCGGTCTCATGGGCCATTGCCCAAATCGTGCCGTGCTCGATGATGGTTCTTGTCTGTACTGGACTATTGTGTGTTGAGTAACCTGACTCTTACCTGAGCCTTGGCCTCCAATGGCTATATTCCTAGCTTTCCTTTGACACTTCGTCAACTTGATAGCCTCCTCCGGATCCTCTTCTTCAACCTCGCATTGATCCTTTTCTTCAACCTCGCCTTCTTCATCTTCTTCTTCCTTCTTCCTCTTTCCTGACGGCTGCGTCACTGTTAACACCTTTGTTGATGACACCCTCTCCCTAAGTTTTTTTATCTCGTTTGCCATGTTGCTCAATACCCCTTCTAGCACATTATCTGTTCCTTGGACCGTTCCAACTGCCTTTTCCTTCCTTCGTTCGACTTTGACCTGGTGATGAAACACCTGATCTAAATCCCCGACAACAATATTCCTCTTAATGGTTTCCCAAGTCGTTTTCCTACCCGTTGCTCCTCCTCGAGTCAGTTTCATGGCCTCATACCCAGAGAATTTTCCCAGGAATATGACGCATTGCATTTCTTCGGACAACCCTGGGACCTTTTCGGCTGTCTTTTCAAAGGCGTTGGCAAATGCCCTGATCGTCGTGAGGTCGTCCCTATTCATGTTATAGAGATGTTCGATTGTGAGCAGGTCGTCCCCTAACTTAAACTTCCTCTGCATGCCTTTCTTAAACTCCGCCCAATCATTGTTGGCCTTCCTTACAACTTCTTCCACGTCCGGCTTGCATTCCCACCATACATACTCGTATAGCTGAGCAAACTTCTCAGCTGAAGTCAATTGGTTGAAGATTTATTCGAGTAACTCCAACCAGTGAGATACTCTTTCTCCTTTGAATGGGAAGATATCTATCCTTAGCAAGTTGGACTTTTTTATTGTTCTCTTTTCTAGCAACTTAACGTTTTCCGCCGCGGTAATCGGTGGCGGGTCCCCTCCATTGACCTCATTGTCACTCATCTTTCTCCCCTTTCTTTCCTTGTCTTGTTAGACCGTAGATTCTGTCAAGACATACAAAACAACCATTGGCTAATCTTTCGTCACTAACTTGGCGTTTTCTTTACTCTCTCTCAATGTTCTCATCCTAATTGTTAATGACTCCTTTATGACGTAAATTTTTCCTTTTTGATTGTTTAACTCATCCAGAAGCACCCAATCCCCATGCCAAAAGCTTCTAACCATACCAAACAACGAGGAAATATCATCTAGAAATTTCTCGATACACATTTCCTTGCAAAGTTTGCGCCAATATGTCGAGCGATCTTCTAAATGACAGATGCGTAAATACGCGTTTACGATACATAGGATATTATAGAAGTCCCCTTTTGCCAGTTTCGGCCCCATTTCTAGGTACAAACAGTAAATAACATCAGACGCCTCAAACTCGAAACCCATCTTAGGAACTGATTGAGCTGCGAGTACTGCTCGTTCCACATTCTCTATTCCACAAAACGCATCATCCATTATGAACTTGGGAAGTGTGGCTTTAATATTCATCGTCGGATAAGTGAATTCAGTTGCCAACTTTGCTTCGATTGACCGTATGACCTCCCCTTCTTCTCCCCAGTACATCTTTCGTGAAAATGCCTCAAGGACCAAGCCCAATATCAAAACGTACTTGGAAATGGGGCGACTTTCTCCTATCGCGAGGTCAATTACATGTGCCCTCCAGAGAAGTGTTGACAAGTAGAGAGTCACTTTTACTACCGCATATCTTTCTCTCGTGGTCCATCCAGTCTCTACCCATATGAAAGTTTCTGGCCCTATTGGTATTCCACACCACGAGTCTATCTCTTCTCCTTCCTCCATCTTCCTTCTGGGCAACATCATCTCAACCCCTCCGTCCTTCTGCTTGGGTAAGATAATCAGGAAGTACCGATCAACGAACCACATCACCGGAGTCATCTGGTATCCTGTTTTACACAACATGTAAAGAAAGAACCTTTATCTTTTTAGTAAACTGTCTAATTTCCCCCCAACATTCTTTGTTTCTTATATCCTACCAATTTTCTACTCTCAGTTTTCTTGAGTATTTTTTTCACTTATTGCATTTGAATGAGGAGTCACCGCTTCAGTTCATCCCAGTAGCTATGTCTATCTGCCAAATCGTATTGGGGAGCATATGAGTCGACTTGCAGTAATATGCTTAGCGACTCTCTTTCTTCAATTAAATGTCCTATCTCCAGGTATAAGTAGTATATCGACAAAGGGGTAGACTTGTGATATTCTCCTTCATGTATTGCCATTGCAGCTTTTGCCGCCTTCTCTACTCGCACCTTCCCTCCGAAGGCTTCATTCATGATAATAATGGGAAGGGTCCCTCTTAGGTCGATGGTTGGTGATAGGAACTCACTAGCGCTCCTTACCCTGACAGTTCCTATAACTCTTTCAAACCCACTCAGACTTGCGTCTCGGCTTCGAGTATCGAGTGCGGACTCTGCAAGCCATAATAGTCTCGAAAGAGATTGATCTATTCCTAAGACTAAGTTTATTATGATAGTCTGCAAATATTCTGATAAGATATATAGGGTAACCCTCTCTACCGCACAACTTTCGTCTCTAATCCATCCAGACTCAATCCAGATGAAGGCATGTTCTCCCATAGACTTCCCCCAACAATACCCCGTTTCCTCACTTTCCTCATGACGAGTTAGTAGATTCATCATTAGGTCATTTCTCATTTGTATGAGCTCTCTGATCGTGACTTGATACCGAGCAAAAACCATCTTGTTCTCGTTGGTATACTCCACCTATTCGTTACACAACACAATCCAACCCACCTTCCCTTCATTTAGCTGGCAGCTTTCAAGCTCATGATCAACCAGTCTCCTTTTATTTTGTCACCTTATCTAACCCTCTCGGTCCTTATATAATTTTCTTATACAATAAGTAGGATATCAACCCATAGATCTCTATTTGACACAATAGAAACATCACAATCGAGATACACAACCTCCTATCAAGAGATGCAGACTAAGAAACAACAGGAGGGTCAGGAACATGTGGTATCGTGTGGGGTCCTCATTGGTGAGGTTGGGGAAGGACGGTCAACTGTCGTTCTTGATCCGAAGAGGTAGATGGCGGATAAGGACCAAGATGCAGAACGCGGCATAATGCCTCGCGTACCTATATGAATAATAAGTTATTTTCCCAGGGCTTGGGATACGCTCATGCCAGTCCTCTTGATGCCTCATTGCCCTCAATCCTTCCTCCCTCCCGTCTAGTCCCTCATCTTTCTCTTTCTAGTCCTCCCATTCTCTAGTCAAATCTATAGGCCTATCAGACGCCTTCCCCTGTCTGCTGCCCCTTCCTCTACCAACACCGGTCCCACGGCCCTTAGGTGCCATATCGTCGGCTTTAAGCATGGACAGGGCATTTTTATCTATGTATTAGTTAACCTATGTTTTACACGTTGCCTTGTCTGGAGCAACTTCTCGTCCCTGGCTACCCTTATTTCTTTGCTTTGTTTGTATCCCAAAGTTATCGTATCTGACTTCGAATCTTAGTCAAATCTAACCTTAAATTGTCGTTCTGCAAGGATCATCGATTTGCCTTACCCGACTTCGTTAACTAAGGACCTCGGCTAGGAGCGAGATCCCCGGCAACGGTGCCACCTGTTGCGTGCGGCAGTTCCACACCCAGACGCAAAGTAATTTTTATGTCGGACCTCACGGTCGTGTCACACAGGAGTCTTTTTGTCACCTCAATGAAACACCACTCCAACCGTGCACGCGTGCTATACCTCTCGCGACTCCCTACAACAGGTTAGGGATCCCGCGAGGTACAACATACCCCACCTACGGGAGTTGTCACCATCCCTTAGGTGGGCGTATCCCTGCTGAGCTACTTACCCACGTGCGAAGGCTTTTACATGCAATCGCAAAGGTAGGTCAGTCAAGGGCGTTTTCTCGATCTTCGTAGCATAGGCATACGCGCGGTAGAACGCCTTAAGACTAACCCGTATATCGTGTCCGAAGTGCTAACTCCTTCGGACGATTAAATTATCATGTCGACTTTTCCGGACACTCTCCCAAGCTAAGTTAACTATGACAATGACTTTATGTCTCCTTTGTTGACCATATGAGAAAAGCCAGAGTCAAACCCCTTTTTAATCTCTCATTCTCTCAAAAAACCCTAGACAAATAACTTCCTAAGCTCCAACTAGCTTACGATCTCGTTCATATATATATATATATATATATATATATATATATAAGGCAGGGGAGGTGAATGAGCGGTAGACCTCACTTTCACAATTGCTGTGTCCTGTGTCCGAATATCCCAGAATGATTATAAATTCAGAAAGACAGCTCAATGCCCAACACCTGTGCAGATGCAAGAAAAACACATACATATATACAGATGCAGACACAGGATGCTCTACAAGCGTCAACCTTTAACCCATTCATAGCAAGTCTCTCAAGCCCCAAAACCTTGAAAACAACATTCCTTCCTAATCCTGACTCCTTTTACTCAGCCCTTCACATTTTCAAAGACCTCCGAATGTGATTTGGACAATTCAAACATAGATACAGGGGGGAAATCTATCCGTTTCCTTCTTAGGTTTTGTCTTAGGTGTGGGTATCAAGCCATGTAGAAGTTGAGTCGGAGTTCTACCGACTTGTTATCCAATGATAACAAAATTTGCAGTTCCTTACGGATTTCTTTCGTAATCCTCTCCAAGAGTATTGAACCTGTAGACACAGCACAGTCCGAAAAAATATTAACGTTTTCTCTTCGATATTGGGATCTATAAGTTTTTAGCTAGACTTGTGATCCAGAGTTCAGTGCTCATCGTCGACTTACCGCCTAACTTCTACGCTCATCTAACTGTCGATCCGCTGCCCGATCGGTCCAGGCGACAAAAAGAGTTCATTCCCAGCCTCTTCGTCCCCGCGGTTCTACTTAGTTTCCCCTTTTTAAAGGTTAATTACAAGCCCCATGTGTCTAGAAATCACAAACAATACCATTCATTCAATTCAAAGAGGAATCACATGATAAAGATCAAATCAGAATTTCAAAGGGTGATAAGTCTCTCTGGGTCAAGATCTCACTTATCATTCCTTACTAGACTCAGATGTTAGCGTGTTAGCAATGGATTGAATCATTTATATGGAAATCAATATCCGTTAGATGATCGGTCATGATATAATCACCCTTTTGTTAATATCTGCTTTTGAAAGTAGATGGTGGTAAGGTAGGCTTCTTGGGGCCTCACTCCTCTTACCATCTAGTACATACTATTATTACGACGATAAGGCAGGCTTCTCGGAGCCTCACTCACTCTTATTGCCTAGTATATATTATTGCAGTGATAAGTCATGCTTCTTGAAACCTCGCTCACTCTTATCTCCTAGTATATATTATTGTGGTGATAAGGCAGGCTTCTTGGAGCCTCGCTCAATCTTATCGCCTAGTATATATTATCGTGTTGATAAGGCAGGCTTCTTGG